TTCATTAGGTATGAATGCCATTAATTTTGAATTAACGTTAAGCAGTGTCGAAAAAGTGAGCGATCATTCTTCCTTCCCGTATCCATTCCCGATATCACCTAAATCATGCGAATGACACCGAGGAAGCCTATTTAAAGGCCATGAGAGAAAGATCTGGTAAGATTCGATAACATATTTGTACTTTGTGACTTATCCTTGAGATGATACTCCATATATACAAGGAAGCTGAGCGCTTTCAATACGGCGGGAACTTTTGCTTCACTAGTTCTCAAGAGTCAAAAAGAAACACTACGTAGTGTATGAGATTATGCGCTGCCTGGGATGTAACAGACTCTACAAAGATACCGCAGGGTTCTCGCAAATCGGAGGGAAACGAGGGTATTTAAGATTTTGTTCAGACTCAGACGATGCTGAACACCCCGGGTTCTGCACACTATTTTGTGCTAGTGTATCCGGAATTCATAATGTTCTATTGGCGGACTTGGAGTTGTCAGGTTTAATTGTATACTTACTATCAGGGAGCTTAAGCAACGACGACTGGGACGACAATGAGAACTGCCAAAAAAAGAAAAAAGAAAGAAAGAAAGAAAGAAAATAGGAACTGCGAAAAAAAAAACTTTTATGCATGGTCATGTATCACGCTTCTTTGTACGTGCATTTTTTACCGCTACTGCACGACTATGACGTCTGCTAGGAAGTGCCTACTTTCATTCAAATGTTAAAGAGGTCGTTAAAGAAAATATGCTAACATTTGACTAATTGAACGAGGCCGAACTGTAAAAAGCGAGAAAAAGTTTGTAGATGAGCGACTTCACTTTTTGAGTGACCATTTTGTAGCTACCGCCGCCGTCTATTGTTGTTTAAGATTCCTACTAGTACTCTACATACAGTCCTTATAATTTTGGTCGATTTCAAGAAATGTTAATTAAGGGTCATCGCCTTCCATTTCTTGACTTGAAAAACTACAAAACTTGATTAACATACGGGGATGAAAACTGAGTTTGATAGGGAAGGAAACAAATTATGCATTATGCGTTAGAAAGTTCTAACAGAGGTAAGCCCAAGCTCGAAATATGAGCAACGGCATTGTTGCGTAACATTCAAAATATAAGGATTTCCAGGGATTTGCGATCATGTTTACTGTAGGTAGTGTCGATCGATCTATCGGTCGATATAACCGTCGATATAGCGGTTGACACTCGGTTGATATAGCGGTCGATAGTCGGGCGATAGTCGGTCGAGACTCGGACGATGGTCGGACGACACTCGGTCGAGACACGGTCGATAGTCGTTCCAGAAGTGTCTCGGCTGATACGGCTTTTCGTTTTCCGATACTTCACCGACACTTCGCCGATTCGTCGATACTTCACCGATGTATCGGTCAGTAATTGGCCAACGCTCGGTCGATGGTCGGTCGACACTTGGTCGATAGTCAGAAGATAGCAAGAACGCCTTAAAGAATTCATGTGGAGACGATGGCATGGTGAGCTTCATACCAACGGCTGTTTTGGTCGACTGATGCAGGACATTGCAGAACAGTATCCACTGTAAATAGATAACCAAAAGTTACGTACCATTCAATAT